TGCTGGACTTCGCAAATCCAGCATCTGTCCCACCAACTCCTGTAAAAGCGTTTACTTTTCGAATCCCAATCAACACTATATTCCATTAACCGAGAAAGATAATCCCAAACACCACATTCGCGCGCCACAAGCGTAATCAGAGACGCAACGTCCTGCCCGACCATTGAATACACACGCAGATGTGTCGCATATCTGGAAATCCGTCAGACAGCCAGAGTCAAGGGTTAAAAGGCCCTGTAGATTTCCGCCCGCGTACACCTACCTCCAAAGAGAGAGAGAGAGAGAGGGACATACACACACTATCCGCAGATCTGTAGGACAGGGTGTGCCTCGTGCAGCAGGAAATTCAGGGTACTCCAGCGGAAAGCCAAGCACGCGGCGAAACGTCAAAGTGTCAGGAGGCTATCAAGCCGAGCCCCACCGCAGCCACAGCCGTCGTCGCCGTCGTTGTAGTATAATTAAGTGACGTCATTATTCGGCCATCATCATCGCAGTAGCAGGTAGGGATATGTCGCTGTGCCGCAGCATTTCATTTCCCAAGGCCTACGCGCGGCTGGTGTGGAGGACGAGAGACCCGACGAAGAAGAGAGCCCAGACATGCGATGTGTATGTCCAAGTGCGCGCCGGGTCTTTGCGGAGATCGCTGCGGATAATGGAGAGGACGTGTATGCGGAGTTGAGCTTCCGTACCACCGCACCTTTGTCCACATTTGTCCCCCCCCCCCCCACTCTCTTGGGATGTGACGGATGGCGTTTGGGTTTCATATGGCGGGGATGAATCATCGTTCGAGTGGATATACGTACGTTGGGTGATCAACTGTGCTTGGCTGGCGATTGGACGATTCTACCTCGTGGGTGATGTCGCAGAGGGAGTTGGAAAGTTCTTAAAGGGCACGTGGCGAAACTTGTGGAGGATAATGCAAAAGAGTTCTTGCAATATTTTCGCGAAAAATTTTTTGGTTTTCATTAGCTCGGACACCAATCCAACGTAGAGAGAAATCCAAATTTAATGTGTCAAAGTAAAAGTCAGAATTTCAGTTTTTTTTATAAAATTCCTTGCAGTTACGTTGATAAGAATTGGAAGATAAATCAGATTCTTTGCCAAACCAATTGAACTAAACAATTGTTGTTCATCGACGATTGAACGATTGACATTAGAAGGCTGTAGAGAGTAAAACATTTCTGTCACAAATTATAGATACTTGTGAGCGTGTCAAATATGTGATAGCCAAGCTTTTTCACTTTGTATAGCCTTCATATATTGGTTGTCCCTGTTAAAAAGTGTCCAATTTCGTGGATTTGGTTGAACAGTTGGTGCACCATATATATTTGGTTGTTCTTCAAATACTTATCAGCAAAACTATACAACGTAATTTATAAAAAAGCGAAATTTTAACTACATTCTTTAGACGTATGATTTAACACTTGGATTTACAGTGAGCTGATTTATGGAACATTATAACCTCAAATTTTACGTCGGTACTGTTTTCAACGCATTATTTTTTTTTAAAGAGAAAGTAGGTTTTGGATTGAAAATCATAGGTTTCAGACTTGTGTCAAATTCTTATTGAACGTCAGAACACTCGACTGCATTCACCCACATTTCTTCGATCCACCTAATCTCGATAAAATCCAAACGCCGATAAAGTAGCAAATCGATCTACCGATCGAGGGCTCCGATATCCCCTTAAACCCTAATTCAACTGCATAAGTTCTCCCCCCCCCCCAAAGTTACGTGGAAAGACACGCGCGCGCGAGGAATATTTAGTCCTCTGGAGCTCATTGTCCCCATATCTGTGACGAAGCAGCTGTAAGTTCTCAATAACACACCCTCTCGCAGTCGTCACCCTATATACGCGCTGTACCTATTCATTCGGTATACCCAAGCACATTTATATATATATATCTAAGGGTGTGGGGGTGTATATTTCCTCTCTAGTGCGCGCAGATCGTCGATTGGGACTGTAGCAACGCATACACATAACGCGCGCGAAGGGAGAAGGAGCCGTCGAAACGGCACTAACGAGTGCACGGGTATGTATATAGGTATAAAGTGCTCGTCCTCGTATAATAATCACACCCGAGTGGCTGTGAAACGGAGTTTTCGGATCAAGACCCTCCCTCGCTCTTTGACGGCATTCGAGCTCACTGCAGGTGTACACACGGCGCACCGAATCAATTATATCATTCGTCGTCCTCATAAACTTGCGAAGGACTTATTTCGATTGTTTGTCGCGAGTGACACAGCAAAGTGATTTTTGCACCAATTGAATTCCCAAGGGAACGTGATGTTTTTTCTTTTTTCTGGTACAGGGTGAAACATCACTCGGTTGGTGTTGATCTAGCTGTGGCGATGACCCACGAGTCGAGACAAGATTCAATACGTTGGGCTGTCGGGTGGGCGAGTTGGAAAAATCGACGAGCGATCGTCTAATGCGTGTACAAGCAAGGGAACCGAGTTATATTTCCTGCCGGACGTGATGTCGGAGGATAAATACCGTGTACTGAAAGGAGAGTTCAGTGCTGACGGGTCGAAGGGGCCGTTTTTATCAGGAATTTTTCGCACCTTTTACCGTAGTACACGTGTCTTGGACTGTTTTTTTTCCACTGTGTGGAAATATGAGAGTTTGAAAGCGTTGCTGTATGTTTTACTGATTTGATTTTTTTTTTTTTTTCGTTGCGTGAAATTAAACGCTTGATTGGAGAAACGTAGACGATCGGCACGTGCATTGGTTTCTGTCGAGGAGAAACAAAACACTTTTTCCAAAATCAAAATTCATCACTTTTTTGAAACGATGTGACTTATTGGTATTTCTCACGAATTTTATTTTCTATTATGTCTATTGAAATCTTCATGTTGTTTTGTTTTACTTTAATTTTTAATTTAAAAAAGTTACAACTGTTCTTCAGACATAATTTTATGTTTGAATGGCTTAGCTTAATCAGACTTATTTATCTTTATTTTTCCGTTTTTGTCCCTGGCTTGTACTTAATTTGGCAAATCCGCTTAATGCCTCTAAACTGTTGTCTTTCTAGATGTCTATGTTTGTCTTTATCAATTACGTTCCATCTTCACATCTGCATATAATCAAATTAAATTTATGTGCCCAGATTATTTCTAATATATATCTTTATATTTCTTTCAATGTGATTATTTTCACCGTTTTCTTATCACTGTCAATCTAAGTTAATCAATTTTCTTTTGTACATCAACTCATACTTGTTCATTTTAGAATACACTATATCGTTTGTGTATTTTTGTCTTCATATCGTTATTTTTATTTGTTTTCTGATCTCAGAATACTTGTCCATAAAACTTCGAGTCTGTTAACCCTTCCGCTACTCTTTGGAAGGACAAATCTCTGGGAGACAGCGAGGTTAGACACGCCAAAGGAATCAGTGCATTTTTTTTTGTATTTGAAAATAATTATTCAATTTATGCTTGTAGAAAGTTTTAATCCATTCTACGAGATTACCGAAAATGCTCAGTCAACAAAATTTCTAAACAAAAAGATTTTACCAAGTAAACTTACAGTAGAGTTTTTGCATACACTCTTGTGTGTCTTTGCCTCTCCAGTCCGTATCTCTGTCTTTTCGTTTCTTCATTTGATTCTATGAGCTCTTTCGTCTCTTCTTGATACTACTTTATTACAGCGAGCTCGGCATATTTACAATTTAGTACTTGATGTTACTCTGTGTTTATCAGAAAACTCTTTGACTACATCACTCTATGCTTACGAGTATTTCTGCTTTTATTTGTATCTCTTTTTATCCACTTTTAATTTTACTTTTGCATCTGTGTCATATACTTTAAAATAAAAATATCATGTCACATGAGTCTTTGACCACGTATCCTCGTGTGGTCTCTTCATCTTTACACTTGTTTCAGTGCCTGTTTCTGCGTATCAGCTCTTTGTCCATCTACAAATTTCCTGTCTTTCCACAAGTTACGGAAACTCACTTTTCGAGTAACTTTCGATCGACTCCAAGTATACTCTCCACAAAATTTCGTTTCTCAAATTTTAGTAAACCCACCTGCAGTAAAAAAAAAAAAAAAAAAGCCGCAGCCAGCAAAAATCTTAATGAGCCCTCCGTCCGAGCTTTAAGCCTCGAGACCACACCTGCGAGCCATCAAACGACAAGGACGTAGCGCAGCCGAGAGGGGGAGCCCCTGAAAATGAACAAAATCACCCAGCGCCAAAGAGAGTGTTCAATTTAACGCGCGTACACCGAGAAAGGGGGAAATTAGAACAGCGCCTGCGGCCTCGCGGAGGAAAACAAGGCGCGCCGCCTCGTCGTCGGGGAGTTGAAAAAAAAAACGAAAAGGATAATAACAACAAAGAGCGAGAAGAGGAAGAGAAGGAGGAGGGGATTAGAAAGAACTTGGCTGCTCGTGATGGTGGCGCAGCGCCGGTAAAACGGGCTTCCTGTTTGCCGTCCATTAGAGGTGACGTCAACTCCCTTTTAGAGACCCCTCCTCCCCTACACTCGCTCGCAAGCACAGACTTTATACGTACCCTCCCCGCTCTTTTTACATTATTACTCTCGTCATTTTTTTCCTACCCCCCTCCTCTCCCTGCCCGTGAGTAAAGAGCGCACGAAAAAAAAAAAAAAAAAGGGACTGCACTTTTTTTCGACACGTGTGTGTGTGTACTATCCCTTCCGTCGGTGTACCCTTGGGACAGTGCGAGGGAGGATGAAGAAAAGAGAAAAAGCACGGCTGGACCCGTCGGTGAATGGACGCGGGGGGACAGGCCCGGGTATCAAGAGACGGCTCGATTATCTCCCGGGGAGTTGTTAATGAGCCACCGGCTGGCTCTTCTCTCGATCTTGATGGAATTTTCAAGCGCAAGACTCTTCCGTTTGCTTGCCATGCTGTGCTCTCGCGTTTGAGATTTTTTTTTCTTCAAAGGTGGTTCATACGATGTATGAAAATAAATCCTTGGGACGTTGGGAAACTTTGAGGGATTGTTTATTAAATTAATATGCACTGTCAAGTCACTACGAAATCACGAGGAAAATCTGCTGGAAATCGAGCTTTTTGGGGGAGAGCTTAGTAGCTGTGTAAGCTTGAGGTTTGTAGAAAAGAGGCTCGTCTTTCAAAGTCCGCGAAAGTCTTAAACATACTTTACAGTCTTTTGGTAATTTCTGGTAGATTTTGGGGTCATCTGAAATATAAAAAACTTTTCAAGTCTTTTAAGTAACTTTAAAGTCTTCTGATATTACCAAGTGACGTTTAAGTCATTTGAAGTCACTTAAGGTTTTCAAATTCATTTTTAAGTTATGGAAGTACTTTTAAAGTCCTTGAAAAGCTTTTAAGTTATTAGAAAACATTCGAAGGACTTTCAATGCCTTGAAAAACTATGAAATCATGCAATTTTGAATGGACTGGATCAAAATAAAACAAACAGCAAGAGCTGCGTGCTGCCAAATAATCTTTTTCGTGTGATGCAATGCTACTTCGCTAAATCGCTATTAAAAATTGATCTACGTGACACTACAAATTAAAACTTGATAAAAAATTTGATACATAAAATAATATTATGAAAAAAAAAAAAAAAAAAAATTATAAATTTTCAAAACTTTTTGCGTACTTTTGCAGGACTATTAATTTATGGTTTTCTATCATCGAGAGCATCGTAAAATTTTTTTCGGGAAATCAAATCTCCTTTATCTAGAGCACTGACGAATCGAAAATCATCTTCGGCTACAGTTGCACCTTTCAAAATAAGCACTGACCCAACTTAACAAAAAAGCTTTTAGTGCGATCGCCCTTATTGTTCCTCAAATAGGTTCGATAAAAAAAGAAAAAAAATTCATAATAAATAAGTACTTGGCACTAAACAATGGACAACAACGGCACAGTATTTTTCCCTTCGAGCGTCACTCCATCACTGTTTTCCAGATGGCTCATTCGCATTCATTACTTTTGGAGGGATACACGCAGTCTACTGCTTAATATTCCCGAGAGCAGCATTGCCTTTCAATTAAGCCTCTCTGATTGGGAAAGAGGGAGATAAAAAAATGGAGCCTCGCACTGTAGCTCTTTCACTTGGCTCTGTTTGTTGCGATTTATCGTCGTGCACCTAATGTCCACCCAGCCTCAGATTTTTAATTTTCATTATCGAAACGAAACAAATAACGAAAGGTTATACATGGCCGAAGCACGCACACCTCGTGAAACGGCGCGAGAGCAACAATTTTTCCATCGGCATGTGCTGCCGGAATTACGCCGTTCGGCTAAATTAAACCCCGAGCTCGCTGCTGCAGCAACTCACCTTTCGACCTTTTCCTTTCCTTTTTTTTTTTCTAGTAATATTCAGCTCACGCTCCGGGCATGGCTCATCCGAGCTAGCTGCCACCGCCGTCGAGGGAGAAAAGGAGGGCAGAGCGATACACATGATAGAAACGGCTCATCGCGCGCGGAGCTTCTTCGTGACGCTTGTGAGGAAGAGGCGTCCCGGGAGATGACTCTGTCTCGCGCCCGGGCACTTTTTTTTTTTTTTTTTCTTCCTCCTCCTGAGATATATTTTGGCTATTATTAAGTCGAGGGAGAGAAGGGAATTATTTTTCAGCTCGGGAGCTTCCCTGTCTTTTCGGGAATTGGGGATTCGTCTTGCCTGCCTGACTGCGTGCTCTGCTCTCGTGGGTTTCTTCGGAGCCTTCGTTTTTGATGTCGCTCTCTCGGAGAGGAAGCATCCGAATATCGGGTGAGGAATCCACGCAATTTTCTACCTGAGCAGAAAAAAAAAAAAAATGTTGAATCTTTACGCAATTTTTCATACGAGAGATGCTTTCGACCGTAACCTTTAATCCTGCTTACTTTATTAAAGTTATAAATTTTTTAATTAGAAAACAACTTTCTTTCTTTTTTCCCTTCATACGTACATCTCAAGCAACTTTAATAAATCATTATTTTTTGCAACTTCGTGTAATATACAAATGGCAAAACACAATTTAAGCTTCTAATTCACATGCAAGATATATTTTTTTGTGTTTAAATAAGAGTTAAAAAATTTTTATTTGACTGGTATGAATATATGTCTTTTTTCCTTTCAAAAAGTAAATTATTTAGTGAGACATAACTTGATCATACTATATGCATTACAATTTTGACAAAGTACTGATTAATTTTTCGTTTGGAGCTAAATACGTTTTAGAACAGGTAGCTAGTTGCCTTTTGCGAATCGTTTTCTGAACGGTAAAAGGATACCATTCGGAAATCACCTGCAATCTACTTTTTTATTGAAAATTTTTTCAGATCCACAAAAAAAAAAAAAAAAACTCTCTCACCTGCACAGCGAGGTAAGCGCCACTCCCAGCGCCTTCTCCGTTACTTCCACCCTCGGCGTACCGATGCGCATATCGTATGTCCTCCCCTTTCCTCCACTAGCCCAACTCCTGAACTTTTAATGTTCAAACCCGGCAGCAACAGCTAGTACATGTATATAGACGTATTGTGTTATCCCCGCGAGCATAAAGAAGCCTACATTGACTGCCCACCCCTTGCAATTTCCACGGTCAGCTTTGATGGTTCTGCACGTGTGAGGAAATAAAGAGCCAAAAGGTGTTAATTTACACCTTTCAAGGGATCATACATGCATACGTTTGGAAGGCAACAAAAATTTGGCTAAAAAGGGACAACCAAGTCAACCTATCGCTCCCTGCGTCAAACGGATGCCGTGCTTTCCGTTCGTACAAACTTGATTGGGAGACAAGAGCGCGCGTGTGTGTGTCGTCAGCGAGTGTATCTCGTTGCTTTTGTTCCCAACTCCGGGACTTTATTTTATTTATTTTTTTTTTTTTCCTCTTAGATAACTCGAGCAGTAGTACGAACACGCGAATGGTCAGCCATTGCGAATACATATTATTCCACATGTTTACGTTTTCCCGAACTTTCGTTGCGGTGAATATTCGCCGTACATAGCGAGCGCTTGCCTGTAATTTCAACAGCACAAGCAAGGCGAGAGAACAATTTTATCTTCCTTTTGGTGAAAAAAAAAAAAGTAAAAAAAATAAATAATAATATTAA